TTCATGTGATGCGGTCGAAGTGCATCAGCTGCTTGTCAAACTCGATGGCGCAAATCCACCGAACCAGACGGACTTCATTCACTAATAACCAAGTCCCCATCGATTATCATCTCACCAGCCGTGACAAACTTATTTAATAAATCACCCTTTGAAGTATCTCTCCCCAATGACTGGAAATACTCGATAGTGAGACCGCTTCCCAAGGGGTGGTGATCTAGAGTAAACTAGAGAACTATAGATCGATCTGTTTGACGTCGATATTATTCAAAGTTCACAAAAAGGTCGTTGAAAGCGTGGAGAGTAATCAGCGCACCTTTGACTGTGATTTGCTTTAGCGTGGCCTCGGCCGCATCTCCCTGTGATCTGCAGAGGTCAGCCTCCCGATAAATCCGGTTAAGTCTATATTTATGAGCCTGAGTAAGTGAGGACACGGTCAAACCTACATTGTGGCCGGTCAACCATCGCACACCACGCCTTTTGTGAGAAGCCAAGCTCTACTCTCGGGATGCGGCAAACTCCGTGGACGACAGGAACAGGCTATACCGAAACGGGTTTCGTGTGCTTTGGGCGCTCATGCACAGCTCCAGCCTTTGGGCAGCGGGCATCGCCACTAGCCTCTTCTTATTCATTTGATCAGTGCCAGAGTACGGCTTAACTACTTGCTGTGCTGTCACCTGGGGCGAGATAGAAAGGACTGAACAGGTACATGTGGCCATCAAGCTCATTTTTACTTTACGAGATATACCATACTAAGAGCGGTACAAGAGATTGAGGCTTTACACCGTGTTTATGCGTCGATTACAGGTTGACCTCATCATGTTACACCTAATTTGTCTTGGTGGGGCCGATGCTGCATTTGAGCCCAACAAACAGTACACAAGGACACCAGTATAAGCACGTAGTAGCGCGTTTGAAATGCGTCGTCCACCAAGCCTGATTCGAACAGATAGTGGTAAATTTATGGAAACTTATCACCGCACGTAGTTGAACAAAGTCGGTGTCGGAAGTCAAATATCTTGACAAACTGTTTGCCGATATGAAGCATTGGGAACGATCGCCATTACAATTGGTCAATATGTCTGAGCGATTTTAGATTCAGCTACGCGGATATAGCTTTTTGCTGTTTTCATCCAGTATTCAGTACATTGGGATCAGTCACCTTAATCTGGCTGCTGCTGAACGAAATGTACCCGACAAAACGTCAGTACTCCTCTATAATGCATATATTACTGAGGAGCGGATTAGGCTGTCTTGATCAAATATTGCAGGCAAAATCTGAAACTTTACAAGTGAACCTATGATTGTGACGTGTGGGGGATTTTGCTGAGGGTGAACTCATTTAGCTGTAAACAGCCTTTGTAGCGTGCAAATAACACGTAAGGCTAAATTAGAGCACAAAACCTAGTTACCGCTTGAGAAAAGCGGTTGATCCATTGAAACCTAGGTACTTTAACTGTGGGTACCATCAATAATGATGGGTGGCATACTTCGCGTAGGAATCATGTGTATCAATATCCGTTTCTCAGTTGCATTGGTTTTGTTTAAATCTTTCACATACTGGCTGTTAGCCATGCACATAGCATTCGAAACTCAGGATACAGATGCATTCAAATGGAAGCAATCGCGTGATCAAATTTCAATGCAACAATACAATGTAAAACGATACTTGCGCCAATGTTAGCCACTGAAGAGAAATAAACCCAGGGTAGTTGAGAGTATATTCAACTGGTGATGCTGCAATGCTGAGTAGCAAAATTCTAATTACGCAGGTCATGGAACGGGTCACTGGACGGAGCCCCTTTACAGTGTTGATCACAAATTATTTTATGCTCGATTAAAGTCCTTCTAAGTAGCAGCTCTTATGGCAGTGAGCAATTTGGTAAGTTTCTACTTGGTACTATATTTGCTCGTTGGAGTTGAATTGGCTAGGTTCCTAACGATGGCATCAGAAATCTTCTAAGCTATTCGTTCGGCGGCCCACTTGCGACTGTGTGGTATATTATTTACCAACAAATTGTAAATCTTCGAAATGCTCATTTGTTTCGGATTCCGACCCACTCTTTGAGATGGCAGGGTTGTAGTTACCACAGAGGAAGTGTGACGAGACAACATACAGAACTCTAACCTCATTCACCATACCATTTGAAAAGCGATGGAACGATGCACTGATTCTACTATTTCTGTGACAACCATAGTCTAGTGACGTGCTAGGTCATCCGGATTAATTTTTGGAGCGCCGTCCGCACCCGTCGCATCTAAATCCACTCCTGTCTTTTTTATCAAAGTCAAGAATGAGGGCAACGTGTTGCAAGACAATTTGGCGCTTTCTTACTGCTGTCCGTAATGCGTCCGCTACTGACTGTGGCAGTTTATCAGATTCTTCAGTCTGAGTTCCTTTCCAGTCAACATACACAAACTTCAGTCGACTGGGTTCAACCTAGGCAAGAGGCCTAAATTCTCTGTTAGCGTTAGCGATGTCCTTCGATTCCATTTGGGTTGTTGAATCTAGAGCGGCTTTTTGATCGAGATTTTTACTACAACTTTCTGGGTCACTGCCAGTTTTAGCCGATATTATACGCCTGCTTTGTCTTCAAGAGTAGGAATAATATCAGGAAACTCAAGAACAGTACGGAGCTATGAAGCAGCCAAACCACATTTGGTTCTTTGCTTGGGATGGCCCAACGTTACCCTTCGGGCACATGAAGCGGTGCAATTTTATCTAATGTGAGCCATACCTATGGTTAGAAAACATGCAGCATCTGGAACTCAGAATGCTGACGGGTTTTGTGGTCATTTAGTGTTCCGTTGGTCTTCTTGTTCCTCCTCATCAGTTGGTGCTTAGAAAGAAGGCACGTGTGTTGCAGTGAGATTGCTATGTATTGTATACAATTTGCCATATGCAAACATTAGGCGTTTTATGGCGTTTCAATGCTTCCCACCATTCATTTTCTTTGGTGACAAATTCTGTTGCGATAGAATCTAGGACAATATATCCCCATCGTGGATACGTAAGGAAACTAGGCTGATAATGACTCATTTTACTTTAGTAACCTATGATTATTTATTCCATTTTAAACTTAAAATTAACAAATAACTGTTATATTTGCAAATTACAGCCGCTGTAATCTCTGGTCCTTTACCAAAAACCTTCTGTCAAGAGGTATGATTAACGTAACGTTTCACGCACTGAATCCTTATACTGATGATAAGTACGTTTTAATGACTGTCACCATGTACAAACGGTGTAGTAATTTAATTTTTCGTCAGCCGCTTCCCCTAGTTATTTGATGTAGTGAATTACACCTTACTAACGAGCAGCTTGTTATCGAACGGAAAAGACAACTATCAATGTTCTCAAAATAAAATAAATTACTTGAACTGTTAGACTACCTTACATATCAGCAACTGTGATTTCGCAACCCGGTTAGGAAGGCATCTTAATGCTTCTTGTTTATCTCGGGGTCATTGTCCGCAGATGAAAGAGCAAACAGCATATGTTGCTCACTCGTGCGCTTCAAGAGGCAATATACACAACCCGTCTGCCCAAATAGGAAATGCGGTTTTCTATCTGGGACCGCAAGAACCATTCTATCGATTTGACCTCCCGTGGTACATGAATAAATACAACGAATTGATAAATCAACTGAATGAAAGAAAATTGAATTGCGAATTCAATGGATTCATCAACTTATATCGAGGTAAGTTGGTAACAAATTTGGTAACAAGTTATCTTTGGGTGCATATTGCTATTGGAACTCTATGTTAAAAGTTGTGACGGCAAATTTGACCGCAAAATGCGAGCACTTTATCAAGGCTTAGTGATATTAGCCGCGTTTATAGTCATTTGGACTGTAAAAACGATCCAAGTAATTTTGATTCGAAGGAAGCGAATTAAATATACGTCGATGCGTTTGTTCCATACAGGCTCAATTTAGAACATCATTGTATTCAAAATACCAAAGGTGTGTTGTTTGACTTTGCTTGATGAAACCTAACCTTTTAGGCAGCATCAGGAAACCCATTCCATTTAAAAACTCAGCCCAATTTGAAACTTTGTGCCGCCTATTTAACAGATAAATTTAACGGATCGACCACAGCTTTCCAATTTCTATACAGTCACAAACACCAATAGCTCTCCGTATCTCGTGAGTTACCTCAGATACGATGTGTCTCGCAATATTTACTAACAAATATCCTGATTTTATCGCAAGGTCAAATACACGCGAATTCTCGTAGCACAAAATTTCAATCTTATTTATAATATTACGGAATATTAGAAAGATTGCCATGGAATTCAAAACTATGATAAGGCTGGAAACTTCACATTTTAAAGGATCAATGGTGTCTGTTAACGTAGATGTATAAGTGGGGATGGAAATATTGCAGACTGTAGTCTGTATCCCATTGAGCTTTTGGTTGTTTTTCAAATTGCTTTAGGAAAAATATCTTGCCGGCTAATAACTTCATATACGTGAGTTAAGTCATTCATAAACACCTGACTTTCTTTGCAGGAGATAGACTTCCTAAGGCACAAATTCAAATTCCGTAAATCCAACTGCCGATAATTTCGCTTTTCCGCATCTTACTATCTTCTCTGCTCTCACAATAACTAATTTTGTAGGGAGGCTATTCCCTTCAATCTTACATTTTCTGCATCACAACTTGGGTGTAGCTTCATGAATCAATAAATCTTTTGCACTGAAGAGAATTTATGCTTATTGCTTTAACGACATCTTTTGGTGTGCTGATTAAATGATTTATTGCGCGTAGTCAATCAACTGAGTAAACATCGGTGATCGGATTGTAACACGTAACATTATCGGTGACTGCGTTTTTATTTAAATACAACTGACAATTATATCATGGCAAATTCTGAAAACAACCCTGCATGTTTGCTTGCGCACCTCAAGGTTTGCTCCCAACTGCATGATTTGGGCCTGCTTGGGCTTGGGCAGCCAGTAAATATTGACACGGAGTTTCAATATCAGGCAGCGATAACTCATCGGGCGTTCATGTGTTACATAAAAATAGACACCATGGAACAATGGTATATTACAAGCACAAAACGAATGCTCAACAAGTCCCGTAGGATGGCAGGGATGAGAAACTCAACTTGGTGAATAGAATACACTGATATAATGAAACCATTTTCTGGACTCACCACAGTGTTCCCACTGAGGCCTGCTGAAAGAAGCAACCCAAGTGTTGTAGGTTAATTTTGGTTGTGAAACTTTTGTCAACTTATAACGTCTGTAGAGACACAGGCTATATCTCCTAATCGAGATGAGCTATGACCATGGCAACGTGCTTTATAGACACAGATAAAATGGGGAGTAGAAAGTAATTTGGGCGGACGTTGCATTGCGTTGAAAAACGAAAAGAGTCAATGTTTCGTGGACGCACAAGCTAAAGGTGGTGCGTGGCTAATAATAATTTGTACAACAGCAAAATCTGGTCGTGGCTTAGTTGTAGTAGGTGGCGGAAGAAGTACCCGGAAACGTTCTAGAAGGCAGTTCAGCCAGTTGGCCATCATCAGTAGTGTCCATCCATCAGATCCATTAGGATTCGAACCCATGACCACCAACAGGTTGACCGCCAGTCAGCATCTTATTCCTGTGCGCCACGGGGGACAGCTTCGGACAGTCCTAATTTGCAAACTAACTGCGATACAGCGAGTCATGTCCTCCACTGTCATGCAAGTTACGAACGTTGCAGAGGACGGGGTTGGCACCGAAATACACGAAGTCTAATGACAGGAGAGATGTACCACACATCATTTAGAAACTTTCAGGACAGATGTATATAAAGTACTCATGGATAGCGTATTTTGATACCGTAAGATGTTGGGTTATCGCCGCCAGTTTCCAAGCAGGTAGTCGTCCACATGCAGGGAAAGTTATTACACAGTAGTTTCAGCTTATTATCCATCATCAGTAGTGCCCATCCATCAGTTCCATGAGGATTCGAACACATGAGCACCAGCTACTTGCATCTCCGGTCAGCATTTTATTCCACTTGTCATGGAAGACAGCTTTAGAACGTCATAATTTGCAAGCTAACTGCGATGTAGTGCATCTCACCCTCTTATCATGCCAGTTACGAACGTTGCAGAGGACAGGGCTGGCCCAGAAAAACACGGAGTCCACAGACGTTGACAATGTATGACATAGCATTTTGAAAATGCCGGACTGATATATATGATGTACTCAAGAGCAGACGATTTTGATAAGGCTAGTTTAAGGATCATCGCTGCCAGATTCAAATCAGATAGTCGTCCGAATACCCAGTTAAGCACTAGACTGTAATTGCAACCTGGTGGCCATCAACTGTTGTGCCCATCCAACAGATCACTGAGGAATCGAACCTATGACCACCAACAGATTCCTTTGCCAGTCAGCAGCTTATGCTAATGGGTTACCTGGGACAGCTTCGGACCGACATAATTTGCAGGATAACAGCGATATAGCGCGTTTTATCCTCCATTGTCATGTAAATTATGCACATAGAGGAAGACAGCGTTGGCCCCGAAAGACACGAGGTCTTCTGACAGTAGCGATGTACAACCTAACATTTAAAACCTCAGGGTAATACCTTACATGTACCCAGTTAGTTGTATTTTGTAAGCTTTTATTCCAAGCTCATCACTGCTAGTTTCAAATCAGTCACCCGCACGGGCAGAGAAAAACCCGACTGCATTTTCAGCATGTTGGCCATTCTCAGTAGTGCATATTCTTGCGATCCATCAGGATTCGAACCCATGACCACTAACATATTGCAATGCTAGTCAGCAGCTCATGCCACTGCTGCTTTTGACCGTCATCACTTGCAAGCTGCTGTCATGCAAGTGAAGAAAGTTCAGAGGAGAGGGCTGGCCTCGAAGTAGACGAGGTTCGCTGACAAAGAGATATCAGATATGGAATTTAGAAACCGTACGCGGGATATCTTTAAGCACCAAGAAATACATAAATAAATAAATGAATGTTATAGGAATGAATGTTAAATGAATGATTTATTCTCCACTGTGCGAGACACGCCATCAAAGACACGATCAGGGTGCTACAAACGCGTAACATTCGTAATGGTACAGAAATGTTACTATTTAACCAGTACATAATAGGTATATGTGTATATGTGTAGTATGTACGTGGGTGCTTGTGTAAGTAAGTCCGTGGACGACGGATCGACAATTCAATAAGCAGCATTATACACTGCCTAGTATCCCACTGAAGATGCCACCTCGCATGGTGGTGAAACGTATGCGATCTCTTAACCAAGCTGGGAAAAACGATCAACAGGTGAGCAACCAAGCCGGGCTACCAGTGTTCCAAATTATTTCAAACTGTTGATTTGTTCGGTTAATGCGCCAAGGGACCAGATCGAATCTTTTGAAGTGGTTTACCTTCGAGGAACGTGTATGATCCTCCGGTATGGCAAGATAGTGAAGTTATTTAGTGGCGAGTCGTATCCGCCACGTCACAGTGTTGTTAAACAGACATTTGTAGGTAAAGGATTCTGGAAATAGTTCATTAAGAGTTCATCACAGCCAGTTTCAAACCACATAGCCCTCTCCATGACCGGACAAAACTGGACTGAATTTTCGGTTTATGGACAGTCTAAGTAGTGGCCGTATATCGAACCCGTCGCGATTTGAACCATTATTCCACCAATATCATGAAAAGCGGGTCAGCAGCGTATGACACTGGACACGGGGGACAGGTTTGGACCGTCATAATTAGAAAACCAAATGAGATGTAGCGCATTTTATCTTCTATTGCCATGTAAGTTTCGAAGGTTGCATAAGACAAATGCTGGACTCGAAACAAATGGAGTCCACTGACAGTACTCGATGCACGACATAGCATTTGGAAAGTGTCAGGGCGCATGTATTTGATATACTTTAAATAAACAAATGTTTATTTAGTTACATGCGAGTTCCTCGCAGCCAGTTTGAACAATATGGTCGCTTAGGCGCTCGGAGAAGTACTCTACTGCAGCTGTTGGCTGTCATCCGTAATGCCTATCCATCGCATCGATCAGAATTCGGATCCATGATCACGGACAGATTTCACCGATTTTTAAAAGTACCAATGCAGAAAAATTTGGTCTTCATAATTTGCGTACTAACTGCGATATAGCACGTCTAATTATCCACCTTCGCGCAACTTA